CAATGGCCTCCAACCTAGAGGCAATGGCCTTCAACCTACTAGCGATGACCTCCAACCTACTAGCGATGGCCTCCAACCTAGAGGCAATGGCCTTCAACCTACTAGCGATGACCTCCAACCTACTAGCGATGGCCTCCAACCTACTAAGTGATGGCCTAATAAAAAAATGGCCACGGCCTCCAACCTACTAAGCGATGGCCTCCAACCTACTAAACGATGGCCTCCAACCTAATAGCCATGGCCTCCGACCTAAAGGCGATGGCCTCCAACCCAATAGCGATGGCCTTCAAAATAATAGCCATGGCCTCCAACCTAAAAGCGATGGCCTCCAAGTTAAAGGTGAGGGGGTCCTGTTGTATTTCAATTCACAACTGAGTCATGCCGCCTGCCCAACCCTCGACAAGGAGGTTGCAAAGAAAGGAAGGTTACTACGTTCTCTCCGCTTTGCCGACTCCTAGTAGCGTCCTTGCTCCTGGTAGTAAGGCCAGGAGCCCCTAGTGTCACAGGTTCAGGGAGCCTCGCTGGTGTGATAAAAGGGCGGGAGGCCTCAGTGTTGGCATCGAGAGGCTTTGGCCTGTTCTGCTGGGCAGAGCTAGTGGGATGTTTCATAGCGTGGGTAGAGCAACACCTGTTCACGAGATCTCCTGAGATGTCCATTTCATATCAGGTTCATGAATTTTTCTAGTTTCTCTGAGTGATCCTAGGTAAGCTGCCACAAAGCCTTGAGGCACGAAGATCAAGAAACGTTGGAAAGTTATGGCGTTATTGATGATGTTGCGGCATCCTTGACAATCTGAGCATGCAGCATGACAATTTCTTCAGGGGCACCTGCTTAATAACTTAATGAGTTTGAGCTTGGTGCTTGGAAACGCATTGGCTCTGATTGGCTAGACTTGCGCGCATATCAGCCCTCGCTGCAAACCTAAAGCAAGCCACGGACTTCTGAGGAATCGAATCGCCAGTGCTGAATCTATACACATCTTGACAGGACATGGCTCGGCCAAAAAGGCTTGAAAACATAAAGGTCGGCTGAACTTCTACCTCAATACGTAGAACAAGGAAAGGAACGCATGAGGTAAGCAGGCCATCAACCTTCCGGGCATTGAGCGAGGTCTTTTCCAGGTGTCCCCCAGAGTTTGATGTGAAACGACATTTTTTCTGATCACAAGTCATCCTCGTCGTAGGAATCCCTGTCTTATCCATGGTATTGTCGCGTGTTCGCGTGTAGGCCATCGCTACTAGGTAGGAGGCCATCCCTATTAGGTTGGAGGCCAGTGCTAGTTTAAGTTTCCCTAAAAATCTAGAATCAATAGTGCGTGAGCTATCCTGCGTCCATACTAGTAGCTACTTAAGCTACTCGGTACCTAGCTTTTACTAGCTACCTAGCTAACCTACCTCACCTAACTCCTAGCGGCCTACCCCCCTTAAAGACAGGTTCTGATTGGAATTATATAAGTTGGAGGCCATCGCTCTGAAGTGTGTCCAACTAAGACGCTCACAGCCCTACCCAGCTCTGTGGTGCCCGGCTTTCACTGGCTGGTTGTAGCCTCACAGGGCCAGAAGCAACCAGGAAACTGCGCACGAGACCGAAGACCCATTGTCTCACCAACTTGCCACAACTGAAAGTGGGCTACTAGGAACAAGAGGAGGCTACTAGTAGCAAAGGGCATCGCTACTAGAAGCAAGGACGTTACTACTCATCTTAGAGTTCAGAGGTCCATTCATGTGTTCATGAGGCTTGGTGTGTGATGTGCGGTCATTTTGTGCACCACATGCAACGCCAAAGAAATGACTCCAACTTAGGAATGAAAAATGGATCATCGCTACTAGGTTGGAGGCCATCGCTAGTAGGTTGGAAGCCATTGCACGACCACTCCAACATAGAGCGTTGATTTCACCAGCTGCGCTGCGCCTAACTTTTGCTGCAATTGCTGTGCCAAGTGCCACCACCTATTTTTCGAGCGAAAAACATCGTTGGGACGTGAAACTGCAGCCCCAGGAAGGTGATCCAAGTCAAACAGGTCAAAACACCAACTCAAGAATCGCTACTAGTAACAAGAAGCTATTAGGAACAAGTGCATCGCTTGTAGTAACGAGTAACAAGTGCCTTACTAGTAGCAACAAGAAGCTACTAGGAGCAAGTGCATCGCTTCTAAGGCTAAATCCACCAAGACGTGCTTCATTCGTACAATCCTCAGTTGGATCAAACAACCTTTCCGTGTTTGTGGACTTGGCCTCCTTTTAGGAGGCCGAAACGATTCCCAAGGAAGCTTCTAGTTACTAGTTCAACGACATACTAGAAAGCTTTCTTGTTACTAAGAAGCTTAAGTTAGCTGTTCCTTTTCACAGCGCTTTCCAACCCCTGCCAAGTGTCGGCCGCCCTGCAAGAGCCGCCGGCTGAGTAGAGTAGAATAAGCCCACGGACGAGCAGTGCGATGTGCACCGAATTCAACAATGATGGGAGTTTCTTGAGATTAAGAACGCTAAGAGCGATGGCCTCCAACCTACTAGCGATGGCCTCCAACCTCAGAGTTTCTTGATGGTCCTCTCTTTCTTCCTCTTCTCTTTAGACCTTTGTTCTTTTCTTTTGTTTAACCAAGGTTGACGGCACAAAGTTCAACAATCTTGACACATTCTCCCGGCCGCAACGAGGCTTCTTTTCGGCTTCCTGAAACCCTCTCCTCTCCACAGACCTAGTTGACAGCGGAGTAGCCACTTCAGCTGCAACTGGCCACGTGGAAACGCTAGCACGAAAACTGGAGAACACCTTAGGCGACCTCTTCTTTCTCGAAAAGAAGTATGACGACTTATTCAAGTCGTAGACTCCATCCATCAACCTAGCGATGATCCGATGGCCTCCAACCTAGCCATGGCCTCTAACCCAAGAGCGATGGCCTCCAAGCTAGGTTGATGGAGAGTTCTTAGGCACATCTTGATCCTGGACAATACGTCACAATATGCATTTCACGTAGTCGTCCTGCTTGTCGGGAGCCTCGAAGGGTCAAGCACAAAGACAAGCCATGGGCATTCGGAAAGGAACAGAATAGTAGCGTCCTTGCTCCTAGTAGCGATGCCCTTTGCTCCTAGTAGCTTCTTGTTCCTAGTAGCGATGCCAGGAGCCCCTAGTAGCGTCCTTGCTCCTAGTAGCGATCGGGCCTGACGAGAAATCGGCATGCTCGAAAAATAAGGAACAGATCGTTCGCCGCCAAGCTTGTCACAAAGGGGTGCGGGAGGTTTGTGGGTCAAGCGCATCACAATCTGCCGGGCACGTAGTTCCAACTCATCTTGCAGTGCCATCTTTGCCCTGGGCAGGGTGCCAGCCAAAAAAACTACGAGTAACAAGTGCCTCGCTACTAGGAACAAGTGCCTTACTAGTAGTAACAATGTTTGCTATCAGAAACAATAGATTGTAATTACTAGCGATGGAGCCCCTAGTAGCTTCTTGTTACTACTAGTAAGGCACCTGTTACTACTAGC